GGGGTCCCCTGAGCTCGGCATGGTGGCTGCGGGAGAGCCCCTCCGTGGGGTAGCCGGTGCGCGCGCGTCCGCCGACCGGCTCATTTTCAAGCTGAAGAGCAGGGTGGTGGCCGCTGACCGCAAGGCTCTCGCCTTCGAGTCCATGCGCTGCTGCACCTCTTCGGCGACGCGGAGGTTGCGCAGAGGGTCGCCTGTAGTCTTCCTGCCCTCACGTCCCTCCTCGCGGGCGAGCGGCCCGAAGCGCTGGACATCCTTCGGCGCAACGTGGCGCTCCACTCCGAGGGGCCCTGCGGCGCGTCTCTGGTCTCAGCTGGCCGTGCCGAGCTGCGCAAGGCCCAGAAGCACGCGCGGAGGCTCGAGGCGAGGAGGGCGGACACCCAGCCCGCGGCTCACGTGCTGTTGCAGGGCTCCCCGCCCCTCGAGGCCGAGAGCGGGCTCCGTCGTGACCCGCCCCCTTTCGTCCCGAGCTCGGGCTGCTGGGTGCCGCTGGACGGCTGCGGCCGCCTCTGCACGTGCGGCGCGACGTGCTACTCGTCGTGTTCCCCGCTGCCGCTCTCTGTTGAGGAGGTGTTCGAGGATCACGGCGACGAGGACTCTCCGTGTGGCGAGGCGGCTGCTGCTGAGTTTCCGACCAGGGGCGCCCCCCCCGCGTTGGTCGACGGCTTTGAGGGGGTGAGTGGGGCCGCGGGCCCGCCGCAGGGCGCCGTGCCAGCCTTGCAGCCTGACAGGGAGGCATCTCGTCGTGCCCCTGGCTTGTGGCAGGCGCGCGCGGCAGTCGCCAGAGTCTGGCTGGGGCCATCGCTGGACGAGGATGCCGTCCCCGAGGCTGCGGGCGGTGTGCTGCGGTTGCGGAGAGTCCGCTTTGCAGATGCCCCGCACGTTATCGAGATTGGGAGCTGCTCGGGCATGCGTGGTATTCTTCGGCAGGGGAGCGTGCCAAGGCTTCTGGACCCCGCCTGGACGCGCCACGCAAATGCCGTTGACCTCATGCACATGATCGAGGGCGACTCTTTCGGCCTCAGGATTCCTCCTACACGGAGGCCGCTGTATTATCGGGCGAGGTTCGCGGTCGGGCCTCGTCTGGTTGAAGCCCTTCCTCCAGGGATGTCTGTTAAGCGTGCCAGAGAGATCGATCGCCTTCTCAGATTGTGCGGAGGACTGTAGCTCGTAGGCCCCGCAGAACACGCTGTATGTGAGTGGATTTGTGCAGTTGTGAGTCGATTGGGATATTGACTAGTATCTATTCTTTTCGGTCCTGCACTTGTTGTGGTCTTGTGCAGTCTATGCTCTCGCCAGTGCTGCACTTGATGGTTTGTCTTGTGTAGTATATACCAGAGGCTTCGCCTTCTGTATGTGCTGCACGTGTCTGGGGGGGGGGGGGGCCCAAGGCGGCCTCCTCTGTCTGCGTTCTGCCCGCCACTTGCCTTGAAGGCCCCGTCTTTAACTTTAACCTTAATTGAGCGTAACGTGACACACTTTGACGGACCATAGTATACCATTTCACAGCGTTCAGAACAGATCAAACAACGGCAACAGAGCATAGCGACGAGTACGACAGAACACAATGTGCCACGATAGAAGATAATAACACAGAGTGCAACGATTACAGAACATGACGGAACATAGCATGGCAGTACCATTACAAAACATATCCTGACATAACATCACAGAGCATACCAGAGCATATCACGCGAGAGCAGGCCAACATAGTAGACAGAGCACGACAGAACAGAACATAGCATTACATAACATGACAAAAATGCATTGCACGAAAGAACAGAGCACAACTCCATATCACAGAACAATCAGAGCAGAACGTCACATAACAGAGAACCGCGCAACATCACATAACACACCGCGCCAGAACTTAAATGATATCACATAACGAACCAACACCCTGGCCATACTTCCAGTTGCCCCGAGAACCCTTTGAGTCGCGTCTTCGACAAACCCGAAACAACACAATATTACACAACAGAACATGACAGAACATAACAGCAATTTCATGACAACGTGAATCATCACATATCATCGCACAACGTAGCCGGGCACACTTTTACATAACAGAAAACGACAGAACACACCATCACATAACATAACATAACTGATCATAACATGATGCATCTTGACGGAACATGCCATATAATGACACAACCACCAGAACATAGCATAACACGACAACAGAGCATAGCGACGAACACGGCATAACACAACACTGCACAATAGAAGGTCACAAAACCGAACACGAACATGACATGATATTTCGGAGCATAACATGGCAGCATGATTTCAAAAAACACGGAAGATCATCGCATGACATACCACAGTATACCACGACAGAACGGAAGATATAATACACCATAACACAGCACCAATACACAACACCATCATTTGGCATAACATACCATGCAATGGCATAGTGCCACAGGGCAGACCATACCATCACATTATCAAGCATATGCTGGCAGAGATGAGCATAACAGAACGTGTTCAATCAGAAGGGACGCATCTAGGTGAAGATGCGAATCATCACAGACGACGCATCTAATGTCACAAACGTCACGGCGTGTCGACAAAGAAACACGACATTCCACAACATCACACAGCAGAACCTGACATAACAGTTTATAGCAATCCTGTGCAAACAAAAGCAAAACGTACCATCATAAAGCATACAAGGGCAGACTCTGACAGAAACGCAAACGACATTTAAAAACCATACTATATCATATCCGCGCAGAACATAGAACACCATGGTGGAAGAACACATATCATGATACAGCCACCAGGGCATATCATAACACGACAACAGAGCATAGCGACGAACACGACAGAACACAGCAGTGCACAAGAGGAGGTAACATAACAGAACACGAGCATGACATCTTATGACGGAGCATAACTCGGCAGTATACTTACAACCATATCATGACATATCATCGCGGAACATACCAGTCCATATCCAACAGACCAAATGCCATAATACATCATGACACAGCACCAATCCACCACGACATAACATGGCGTAACATACCATGCAATTACACAGTGCCACAGAGCAGACCATACCACCAAATTCCCAAGCATATGGCGACAGGGATGGTCATAACAGAACGTGCTCAACCAGAAGAGAAACATGCATCGTGGAAAGGGAAAACATGCATTGCTTCGCGCGCAGGCGTCATCACATTACATTGCAGAAAGCGACAGAACACACCATACCATAACATAGCGGATCATACCATAACACACATTGGCGGTACGTATCATATCATGGCGCAGCGTTCATGACATTGCATGATCAACAACAGAGTATGGGCGACGAACACGGCATAACATAACAGGTCACAATGAAAGGTCACATACCAAAACGAGATCAGGACACAACACGACGGAACATAACATGGCAGTCGCATTACAACACAGGTCATGGCAGAACATTGCAGATTATCCCATATCACATCATGACAGGGCAGCACAACATTGTGCACGTAACACGACATAACAGAACAGGGTATGCCAGAACATGACGAAACAATACATAGCATGAGAGAGCAGAGCACACCATAACATCACATAACAAACCAACACAGGACGTCACATAACATATAACCACATGACATCACGGAACAAACCAACACCAGAGCACAAGAGAACATCACACAACAAACAAAAACCAGGCCAGACCCCCAGTTGTCCCGAAAATCCCGCAGTCCTTGCCGCCGCCCCGCCGTGGGCGGCCTCCTCGCCTGCGCACCTCAGTCTAAGGATGGGTGGGGGGAGGAAGGAGGAGGAAGGAGGCATGAGGCAGGAGGAGGAGGACAGTGGCCCAAGGTTTCGGTGGGGATCGCTCGAAGCAAATAATTGCGGTTGTTGTTATTATTGTTGTTGCAATTATTATTATTATTATTATTATTATTATTATTATTATTATTGTTGTTGTTGTTGTTGTTGTTGTTGTTGTTGTTGTTGTTGTTGTTGTTGTTGCTCTTGCTGTTGTTGTTTTTTTCCGGCCACGGTGGACCTTTTTTTCCGGACACCAGGACCGTCATAATCGGATCCAGGTTGAAAGGCCGCACCAGATAGACACCAGGAGGGGTCCAGGGATCGATGTTGAGCGGATTTGGCCTCATCGGATAAGGGGGCTTGCGGTGTCCTCACCTCGCAGGCGGGCGGATGCTTCAGGGGCAACGTTAGTCAGGGGGACGAGAGGCTCAGAGGGCGATCTGGTCGGGGGGGGGATGCTCTTGAGGCTCGGGCCAAGCGAGCGCAGCGTCCTCTACTCCAATCGTTCCGTCCGCAGTCCTTTTAGCCTTTCGTGCTTCCAGCCTCCCCGAAGGGGTCGATAGGCCCACGGGGGGGATGCATCGACCTCCGATCGCCCAGCGATCGCCGACGGGGGGCTGGTTGCCCACCCCGCGCAACCGCCCGAGCTCAGACCCCCATGGCCGCCTCCAAGCCCTCCTCGTGCCACGGGGGAAGCGGGTCCTGACAGACATGGGTCCCGAGGTTGTTCGCCATCGTCGGGCTCTCGTGGCCCTCCACGGGCCCTGGGGCAGTTAGACAATGACTCGGGATGAAGGATTGGTCTTGGGGGAAGGCCCCAGGGTCCAGGACCCGTGTCCCTAAGAGCCCGTGTCCCCCATGCTGAAGCTCAGGCGTTGCGCAATGTGGTGGCGATGAGTGGGGGTGGGTTGAGAAAGGTGCACCTTCTTGTGCCCTAAAGAGCCCAGAAGTGGCCCCGTGGGGCCCAAAGGCGGCACGAAAATGTGCACGCCCCCCCCTTCCATGTGTCGCTCCACCGTCTGCAGCGCCCCGTCCCTCAGGGCCCCGTCATTGAACCGCCGGGTCGGGGCCGACGTCTCCCCCGCCGCCGCCGTTGAGGTCGTCGCCGTTCCGCGTAGCAGTTGTTCTCGTGTGTTTGTTGTCCACCGCCCCTGCCGATCTGCACAGCACGTCGTGCTTGGCGCCGCCCCTGTCCCTGCCAGTCGTCCTCGCAGGCGGGAGAGCTCGAGGCCGGGGCGGCTCACTTCCGCGCCGTCCTCCGCGTGGACCCCGAGGACTTGCGGCTTTGCGCAGCCCGCAGACAGCAGCCTTCCAGAGGAGGAGGACGAAGAGGAAGGGGAAGGGAGGAGGGAGGGTTGAGGAGGACAGAGGCGATGGGAGGCAGAGGGAAGGGACGAGGGAGGAGAGGGAGGAGGTTGGAGGAGGAGGAAAGCGTAGGGAGGAGGGAGAGGAGGAGGAGGGAGGGAGGGAGGGAGGGAGGAAGGAGGAGGAGGAGGAGAGGAGGAGGAGGAGGAGGAAGACAGTGTAAACCCAAGAGTCATCAACGATGTTGGAAGTAACCCTCCCTCCAAGCTCCCTCTTCATAGGCCCCTACAACGGTTCATTTCCATTGGGGGAACTGCCTCATTCGAAGACAACCGTTTGAAGACCCTGAAGAATGCCAAAACACGGTTCTCGGGAATTCAACGCCACGGATGAGACCGAGAGTTGCGTCTTGACGATCCGGAACCGTGCCAGAACGCAATGTTTGGAATGGAACACCGCGAATAAACATAGTTGTTGCTCCCGCAGGATCCGAAATCTTTCCAAAACACGATTTCTGGTACGTTGGTCATGGGAGCCCGTGAAGCTCTTGCAAATGCTTGAAACGAATGTGCGCGGCGCCAAAACAAGAGCCACATTTTGAAAAGGAACTGCCCTCAATCCGTGAAGCTCTTGCAAGTGTGAAAACGAATATGCGCGGAGCCAAGGCGTGAACCACATGTTGAAAAGGACCCGCCCTCAATCCGTGAATCTCTTGCAAATGTTGAAAACAAGTGTGCGCGGCGTTGAGGCGAGAGCCACATGTTGAAAACGACCCGCACTCAATCCGTGAAGCTCTTGCAAATTGTTGAAACGAATGCGCGCGGCGCTAAGGCGAGATCCACATTTTGAAAAGAAACCGCCCTAAATCCGTGAAATTCTTGCAAATGTTGAAAACGAATGTGCGCGGCGCTAAGGCGAGAGCCACATTTTGGAAACAACCCGCCCTCAATCCGTGAAGCTCTTGCAAATGCTTAGATCGAATGAGCGCGGCGCCAAGGCGAGAGCCACATTTTGAAAAGTAACCGCCCTCAATCTGTGTAAAACTTACACATGTTTTAAACGAATGTGTGCGGCGCCAAAGCGAGAGCCACATGTTGAAAACGACCCGCCCTCCATCTGTGGAACTGTTGCCACTTGTTAAGATTTAAAGTCATCAATGGTGAGGAAGTCTCAGGCGAAACGCCCGGCCCGTCCCAAACACTGGCCTCGGGGTGCGACAGGGAGAAGTTATGTAGAAGGAAAACGAATGGAGGAGTAGGAGGAGGAGGAGGAGGAGGAGGAGGAAGTGGAGGAAGAGGAGGATGAGGAGGAGGAGGGGGGAGGAGGAGGAGAAGGACGAGGAGGAGGAGGAGTTGGAGTAGCAGGAGGGAGGAGGGTGTTGGAGGGATGAGCCCCCGCCCGCCGCGGCCCTCGCCTCGTCGATCGGGAACGTCTGAAGCTCTGCCGCCACCAGCATTCCCATCTGGAACGTGCTGCCGAATACCGCATGTGCGAGCACTGGCGCCCGCCTCGCGACCGTCTGAGCGTCCATCCCTGGCAGGCGGTCGAGGTGCGTCGAGCGCCAGCGCGCACATCTTTTGCCGATGTCCACATTCGCGGCCCTGCTTGGCTGGCGCCGGGGTGCACCTCCTGCTCCTGCGGGTGCGCCTCGTGCCGCTGCCTGAGCCGCCGGCCCCCCTCTCCGAGGATCAGAGGCAGGCGCTCCTGGAGCGCATCGGGGCCAAGGAGGCAGGCCAGGCGGCCTGACCCTCCTTCCTTTTGCGTGGTCGTGTGCGCTGTCCCTGTGGATGATGTTTATTCATCCATCGTGCCGCTGCCGGCTGGCTGCTGCCGAGGGGCATTGTTCTCCTCGTCGTCGGCGCGCTGTTCTGCGCCCGCGCCGACGGGAGGGAAGAGGCCGCGGACCCACCGCGGGCACGCTTCGATCCGCTCCCTGGTCCTCCACGCCCAGCAGAGCGAGAGCGTTCGCCTTCCAGCTGCCCCGTGCTCGAGGGGAGCATCGCTGTGAGGCGTGGGAGGTGGAAGTGGCGTGTGCAGTCAAGATTGAGCAAGTGGAGTGGCGCAAAGGGAGGCGGCCTACTAAGCAGCAGTATTCTGCAATGTGCCCTCCATCTTCGAAGTCACGGGACACGAGAGGTCGTCGGGCATCTGCGCAGCATGACCCGGGGTCGAGTTCGGAGGGCGGCGCCTGCGACGTACAGCCTCGACGGACTTTCCCGAGCAACCTCTCTAGTCCTGAACGCCTGCCGACATAACATACACGGGCTAGAAATCGGAATCGGGTGAACTACGCAGCGGCGCGAGTGTCCTGTTACTGCTGGAAAAAAAGCGTTAGTGGCCCAAGAAGCCCCTCTTCCTCGCAAGTTCCTTTCCCACAAACATGCCCCGTCGTCCCTCGTATCGTGCAGCGCTACGTCGGAGGCACAGGTAGGCGAGGGACCGCCGACTCCATGGGCTCAGGCGAAGCCGAATCGTAAACTGAAGGGAATGGTATCGACCCTGTTCTCGCTCCCCCTTGAAGAATCCCTGGGCCGACTCGCAGAAATCGACCGCGAGCGTCTGAATCAGCAAACGAATTTCGAACACGTAGGCCGAACAGATCCTCGAGAAAGTCATTCTCGTTAGCCGTGGTCCACAGTCTGACCGCTCAAGGGGCGAAGCCCTGCGCATACGGATTTGACGTTTCAACGCCACGCAGTAGTCGGGTAGGGCTGGGTTCGACAGGCAGTTGACCAACGACTGTTCCGAGCTCTCGGGGATGACTGGACGGTGTCCGAACACACCTCCGGTAAGTTCTGAGACGCTTCGCACATCACGCAATCCCACATGGCGCGCCCCTGAACACTCTTTTCTCAGAACCAGCTCGTCGGAGCAGGCTCGGCATCGAGAATCCCAGCACTCTTGCACGCATCCCCTCCCAGCAGGAAGAGGAGGATAAGAAGGATACTGGAGGAAGAGGAGGAAGAGGAGGAAGAGGAAGGCGCATGGAGAATGAGGACGGGGAGGGGCCAGAGGTCCTGAGATTCGGAAGAGAAGGAGCAGCAAGGAGGGAGAGGGGAAGCAGGGTAAGGAGGAGCAGGAAGCATGAGGCTGGCGATAGGAGCGCAGGGAGGAGGCACCGTCTCGAACAGAGCTGTTCCGCGGTATGGGGCAACGCAGCCCAAGAGGAAGCGCAAGGTGAGGAGACATCGCGCAAGAGGTTGAGAAATGAGGACGCGACGCAAAGGAGAAATGATGCACATGGGCCATGGATTAGAGAGCAAGGGCTGCCACTTGATGGGAATAGGAAGAGAGGGTCTGGCGCCCCAGAGGGACCTGTAGGCTCTTGTGTTCTCCGCTATGCCCTCCTTCCAGGAGCTCCCGGCGTCGCACGCTCGTTGCACCCCATGGCCGCGGGCCCCATCTTCGCATTCTCCTAGTCCTGTCCTTCCCCTACTCGTCTCATCGCGCTTTGTGATTTCGATTTCCCTCTGCCAGCATCCTCTTCCTCTTTTGATTATCCCTGAGCGGTGAGCCGCAGCAAGGAGTTGCACGGATGAGAGTGACAGTTGGGGGAGGCCAGCGAGGGAGAAGGAGGAGTAGGAGGAGGAGCAGCTGGAGGACTAGGAGGAGCAGGAGGAGGAACAGGAGGAGGAGGAAGAGGAGGAGGAGGCTGAGGAGGAGGAGAAGCAGGGGTTCGAAGCGCTTTGCATCAACAAGGGGCTCCCAGTACCCGGAAGCCTGGAACAGACTGGCGAGCGTGCAGTACGACGCTGGGGACGCGATAGCGTGGGTGGGCTCTCTCCGGCAGCGATGGCCCGAGGGGTTTGCGAGCAGCATTGTGGCCGCGGAAGGGTCCGAGGTCCTCGCTTTCCCACCTCTCGCCTCTGCGGTCAGGGGCAGCCTAAGCGACCCCTGGCAAGCCATTCCCTTCCGTGACGCCATCGCTTCACCCCAGGACGTAGATTGCAAATAGCTTGGAATGCGAGGATGACGTCACGGAAGATGCTGGTAAAGGTAGGGGTTGGTTAGGCCGCGCCCACGGGCGGCGCGTTGGTCGAGTGTTGGTTCCGTGGTTCCCGCGTTCATTCGCATCGGTGGGCGTTCGATCGCTTTCCGGGCTGAGTTCAGTTTGCGGGGTGCTCGAAGCAGGTGGACGCCCCTTGCCCGCGATTGCACCAACAGACACTTTTTGATCCGCGGGTCGAGAGCGAGCCTCTTCCGGTCGAAGCTAAGCGGGCCGCGCACAGCTTTAATTGACAGAGGGGGGAAGGCAGAAGGAGGGGCCTCGAACGCACCAACAGACACGCAGACTTCCGGAGTCCCGCGGGGTCTTCTCGGGCCGGCGCTCGCTTCCCCCGCGGCGCCGCCCCCGCGGCGCCGCCCCCGTGGCGCGCTCCGCGCGGCGGGGACGGGAGGCCCGGCGCCGACCCCAGGAGTCCGCGCAGAGCCCCGCGAGGTTGTGCTCGGCGACGCGCCGAATGGCTCGGCATCGCTCGGACGCGTGCACTTTTTTCTTGGCGAGGACCATTGAGGAGCATCCTTGATCATTTGTCGAGAAACAAAAAACACGCACGAAACCGAAATATGCACGGGAAATGGACGTCCCAGCGATGGCAAGGACAGGGACGGGAGGCCTGGCGCCGACCCAGGAGTCCGCGCAGAGCCCGCGAGGTTGTGCTCGGCGACGCTTCCCAGTTTGAAACATATCCCTACCCCCATGTTTGACATCACCTCACCTCGATGCCGATCGTAAGGATTCCCTCAGTTTCTGAGGGCCTATCCCTAAGATCGTCCTCGCTGTTTGCTCGCCCATCTTAGGGATAGGGATAAGTTCGAGGCTGGTTAGACGCGCCGAATGGGGGGGGGGAGCGAGAGGGGCAGCCCTGCTCGGAAGCTGGATGGGGCCTCGGAGAGAAGGCTCGGAGAGCGTGTCCTTGGAGGCCGGAGGCCCTGCGGGGGCCTGCTGAGAGAGGGCTCGCCGCCTCTGCCATCCCCCCTCGGCGCGCCGCTGGTTCCTCTAAGGTTAAGTCGGGCTTGTCCCTCTACAGGGGGCATATTCAGAAATAATGAAACAATAGCCTGGGGACTATTTTTTGATAATTGTCTGGCCATTTTGGAGCATTTTTTGAATATTAAAAAAAAAATCGTCGTACCCCTGTAGGGGGACACGCCCGACTTAACTCTTTGGCGTCGGTTCCATGCCGTGCGTCGCGCTGGTCGGATGACGCAGGACTTCACTAGGAAGGGCTCCAAGGTTGGTGTGTTCTGCGGCTCCGTCCCGAATGGTCGTTGAGCAGTTTCGGAGGCATGTGTACCGTCGGCGGAAGGTTCGACCATCAGCAGCGGAACAGGAACTTGCACATTGGTTGCAGCCACAGCTTCGTGGGTCAGAAGGGAGATAGGACATTGATGAAGGGCTTCATTACACCCAACTGATGGACATCCTTTTGACGAGGCACGGCACGTGGGATTACGCATTTGTGTGGACGGCCATGTGGCCAGGTGCCGTCCTCAGTTGGATGCAGGTTCATTCCAGAGTCATTGGTCACGGGCCATGTCCAGAACGTTGTGTTTGTCGGCGAACGCTTCGTTCAGTCTTGGCCAGGGTGGAATTTCATACGCGCATATTGAGTGCTCTGGCGCCTTTGAGTTATTTTTGGGCTACCCCGTGGCTTAAACAAATGCAGGTGGGGCCCCAATGTGGGGTTCGCGTGAGCGTCTCTTGGAGCTCTCTGGGAACATTTCGGGCCCGTTTTGGGCCATCTGCGCGTGCAGCCTCAGAGGCTTGATGGCGAGCTCGACTTGAAACCCACAGGTATGCTTGTTCAATGATGTTCGCGAGGATCGTGGACATCGTTCTTGGGATGGCCCTGTTGCCAGCTCGAGCCATTTTGTAGGGCACCTATTATGCAGGCATCTTAGGCAAACTTGTGCCATCTTGTACCATGACTATCAGGGGCCATCGTGGGGCCGCCTAGGGCCATCGCGGCACCTCATGGCCCTATAAGTCGTTAACCTTGTGCGCCCACGGTGACGTCTTGGATTGGGCAGAGCCGAACATGGCAGGCTCGTCGGCACCCTACGGGCCGTGTTGGTCTCTAACATTGCTCCCAGAGGTCGCGAGACGGCAACAGCATGTCCGAGGTTCCGACCCCCCCCTGGAGCCCCATCTCTTGTCCAGCAAGATTGCTTGATTGCCCAGTTCTTCTGTTGAACACACGATTGAGCCTGCAGAGCGGGATCAACGCCCCCCCCAATTGTGGGATTTGGGCGTGTCTCGGGACCGTGTCGGGGGCTTCTTGTCCTTTCCTTGGACCGTTTGTGCAGCCTGGGCGGAGCACTCTCGGGGCGTCGTGGTGGGCTCTGTTGGAGCAGTGCATTGCCGTACTAGGCTCTCCTGGAGACTTCTGGGAGCCGTCCTGGAGGCCTTCCCGGAGACTGTGGGAGCTTCCTGGAGGCACTGCTGGGGCCCTCCTGGAGGCCTTCTTGGGGCCCTCCCAGATACTCCTGAGGCCCTCCTGGAGCTTTCTTGGGGCCATCTTCAGCACCTTTCGGGACGTCTTGGAGAGCCTTTTGGGCGGCTCTTGGACAATCTTGGACGCTCCGCGAGATGCGGGAACTAGCACCTCACACAGTCAACCCGCACAGTAGGGATGAGCAGCTTTCCAAGGCTACCCTTGCAACCTTGCCCATTCGGCCCATCCTTGGGAACCGAACTCTATACACCGACTCTTTTTCTGGCCCTGCACTGAAACTCGCACAGGAAAGCGGATCTTGGTGTATACGGGATGCTGGTGTGTACATTTTCGTCATTTCCCCCGGAAAGCGGGGGAACAACTATACACCACACCACCCCGACGTCGTCCCCGACCCTCAAAAAGTCATGGGATTGAAGAGCAGCCCGCCACTGGTAGTGCATGTTTTCCAGTTTCCGGCATCGAACGAACGAACGAAGCGCGGCCATACACCAAAAGCGCGTGGGCAAGGGCAGGCAGAGCGACACGCCAAATGCGTGCAATAAAGAGTCACGTCAAACAGCCTGCCAGAGTACAGAGACACGAAATTCAAAAAAAAAATCCGGCATCCTCGGCGACTTTCGCAGGCCAACCTCGTCCGACAAAACCTCATCACGGCCCTCGAAGGCCCCTGCATTCTTGCCGCGCGTCTTCGTGCAGCACCCCGCAGTGGCGGCTGAGAGCGAGGGGGCGGGGTCGCAGGAGGAGGAGGAGGAGGAGGAGGAGGAGGAGGAGGAGGAGGAGGAGGAGGAGGGTGGGTCGCAGGTGGGTCGCGGGCGAGCCGCGGGTGGGTCGCGGGGTGGGTCGCGGGGTGGGTCGCGGGAGGGTTGCGGGTGTGTCGCGGGTGAGTCGCGGGTGGGTTGCGGGTGAGTCGCGGGCCATGTCGCGGGCGGCACGGCGACAGCAACAAGCAACAGTAGCAACAGCAACAGCAACAACAACAACAGCAACAACAACAATAACAACAGCAACAACCCGCTCCTCGGAAGCCCATTTCAGCAACGCGCCCGGGGACAGTGAATGACCGTTCGGCCCCCTCACTCTGATTCTGCGGGTGGTACATGTTTCTTGCCTCTTTGGAGGGCTCGTCGGGGCCGATCGGGGCTCCGCCGGGGCAGCCCTGGGCCGTCCTCTGGCCACATTGGACACTTTTGGAGGGAAGCTCGCAGCAGGGGCAGTCGTGGGTTCCATCTTAAGGCCCCCGCGGGCCGCTCTGGGCCCGACGAGAGATAACCCTGACAACCCTTGGACTCGGGCGGGTGGTAATGTGGCTTACATGGGGTGGTGAAAATTGTGGCCCTCATGGGCCCTTTAGAGCCCCTTCTGGAACCAGCAGGGGTCCAAAAGGGGATCAAAGGGACCCATATAGGGCCCTTTTCTGCACCCCTCATTTAGGTCCACCCCCCTACCATTACCACCCGCCAGATGGACGCTCGGCGGATCCCCCCAAGCCAATCCAGAGACGATGGCCATGCGAGCTGTCTGGTGGAGGGGCGAATTCGGGCATAGATGCCTATGGTGGTGAAGGTAGAGACCTCGGGGGGCCTCTTGGAGCCACCTTGGGGACATTTCGGAAGCCTCTCGGGCTCTCTTGGGGTTCCCCTGGGGATCTCCTGGAGCCCTCTCGGGCACCATGGAGGGCATCTTGGGGCCATCTTGGAAGCCGTGGCTCCAAAAATGAGGACAGCGGCGCTTCGCCCCACCCACCCCCTCCCCCATCCATCCATCCCCCCCCCCCTCAGCAGCTCTGGAGACGCTCATGGGACGCTCTGGAGGGCCCATGCGTGCATCGTGTCGGGCGTTCCAGACAGGACCTCGCTTCCGGCGCGTGCCCCCGCCCCACCCGCAGAAGGCAGCCGGCCCCTTCTGACCAGACCCCCCCCGTCGTTCCCCCTCTCAGTTCCCCTCTCTGTGTCGGAGGCGCGCCCAGGGGGGAAGGGCAGAGGGGAGGCGGACCTTCTTGGAAGGCTCAAAGGAATCCCCCCGAGCCTGCCCACGAAGCCACAGAGGCCATCTCAGAAGGCCTGGCCGCCTCCTTCTGAGAAGGCCCGCCCGCTCTCACTTCCCCGCTTGGCCCGCCGCCGACCCTCGCTCCCCCTCCCCAGACGCATGATGCTCTTCCCTCCCCCTGCAGACAGTCAGTGTCTTGAGTTCTTCCATGCGGGGTCCCCGACAGTCCCGACCCTTTCTTCGTCGGGCGTCGCGCAATGGGGAGGCGCTACACGAGGGGGAGGAGCAGCGAGGGCTGCAGGAAAGCGGCCCTGCGGGGCCCCGGAAGCGGGGCCCTCTGAGGCCCAGGCGGAGGCTCCTCGGGCCCGAGAAGTGCACGTTCCCTCCCCGTCCCACTCGTGCCCCCCCGACCCGAGGCCGGCTTCTCACCCCGACCCGTTCGCTGACGGCCCGGGGGCCCGGCGAGGCCCCCCCCGCGAAGGCCCAACAGGACCACGGACCTCCCGTCGGGACATCTGGTCGCAGCGCGCGCACGCCGCGGGGCGCCGCCGCGCCCTGGGCGCTTCCCGCGCCCTCGCCGGCGGCGAGGACTGGGCCGCCTCGGCGGCGAGCCAGGGCAGGGCGCTGGAGCCTGGGCGAAGAAAGCAGGGCAGAAGCCGCGGCTGCCGGCCTAGCCTGGCCGTCGCCGTCACGTCCGTCGCCGTCCGCGGGGGAGGGGGAGGTTTGGGCGCTCATGTTCATGAATCGCCTCGCTGTTGCTCTGTTGGCATGCTTTTCGAGGAGGAGGAGGAGGAGGAGGAGGAGGAGGAGGAGGCGGAGGGGAGACGCATGCGGCCGCGGCAATTGTGGCTGTAGGTGGAGCTCCCTAGGGTGCCACGAACCGTGTGAGGGTTGTGCCGAGATGCGCGGCGGGGACGCATGCGGCTGCAGCCACTGGGGCTTTATAGGCGGAGCCCCCTGCTGGGGCCATGGAACGTGTGAGGAGTGTGCCGAAATGAGTGTGGCGGACGCATGCGGGCGCAGCCACGAGGTCCCTACGTCCAGCTCCCCATGGGGCCACGGCAGCGAATATGAATGTGGCGGACGCATGCGGCCGCAGCCACTGTGGCCGTAAGTCCCGCTCCCTTTGGGTCCACGATGCGATTGAGGGTTGTGCCGAAATCAGTGTGGCGGACGCATACGGCCGCAGTCACTAGGGCCTGAAATCCAGCTCCCTATGGGACAACGAAGCGATTGATGCCGAAATGAGTGCGGACGCATGCGGCCCCAGTCACTGGGGCCTTAGGCGGAGCTCCGTTATGAAGCCACGGAACGCGTCAGGGGTGTGCCGAAATGAGTGTGGCGGACGCATGCGGCCGCAGCCACGAGGTCCCTACGTCCAGCTCCCCATGGGGCCACGGCAGCGAATATGAATGTGGCGGACGCATGCGGCCGCAGCTACTGGCGCCTTAGGTTGAAGTTCCTATGGGACCACGAAGCGTGCGAGGGGTTTACCGAAATGGTTGTGCTGACGACGGTGATGCTGACGATGATGGTAGTTATGACCAGTGATGACGTGCGGAGGGCAGGGGCATAGATGAGAGGAGGGAGGAGGGAGGGGGAGCAAGGAGGAGGAGGAGGAGGCGCTGGAGGAGGAGGAGTAGGAACGCAGGACGCTGTCTCTTCGAATCGAGGACCCAATTTTACAGGATGGTTGGAAATAGCCTATACAAACACACACACACATATATATGTATATATATATATATATATATATATATATATATGTATTCATATTCATATGTGTGTCGGCGGTGCCCCGTTCGGAGCATCCCCCTCCCTGGTAAACTCCATCCTGGGCGGTTTCGAGCCGACGGCACCGCCGGTGCGAGCCGGCACGAACCCCCCCGGTAAGCACGAACCGCCCCGGTAGCCCGCACGAACCCCCCCAGTAAGCACACGAACCCCCCTGGAAAGCACGAATCCCCCCGGAAAGCACTAACCTCCACCCGGATGCGTGGCCGCCCGGGCCCCAGACGTGCGGAAACAAGGCAGCACCGCTCTTCTGTACGCGGCCGTTCCGTCGACCCCTCCCAGGAGGCTCGAAACGTCGTCCGGGGCAGGTGGCCCACCCTGGAGTTGCAGTTGCCTCCTGTTGCCACGTGCCCAGCAATGTCGACAACAGCGCTGCCAGTTCCTCCTCCTCCTCCTCCTCCTCCTCCTCCTCCTCCTCCTCCTCCTCCTCCTCCTGCTCTTGGACATCGCGCTTCCGCGCTATATTTTTTAGCACCTCCGCGTGTGAGTTCTCCACCACATTGGCACACGAGGCGCTCCAGAGAGCCCCATGGACGGCCTACGAAAGCACGAAAACGGCTCGACTGGACCCCAAGGACGTTCCAAGACGCCAACCCCCCACAGAGAACCCCCCACCCCATCCGCACCCCCGCCCCACCCCCACCCCCCACTCCCGCCCCCCCACTCCCGCAGGGGTGAGGGTGGGGGGGCAGGTCAAGTTACCCCCTCCCCGCCCGCAAGCCGTCTCGCTCACTCCCACCCGCCCTCCCAACACATACGTAGCACCCGAGTCTGGCCCGAGCCTCAGCATATTCAGCAGTCGTCTTGGGATGGGCAGCTACTGGGGGCCAATCCGCCGCCGCCGCCGCCTCCGCCGCCGCCGCCGCCGCCGCCGCCGCCGCTGCCCGCCGCCGCCGCCCCCGCGCCGCCGCCGCCGCCGCTGCCGCCCTTGCCTGCCGCCCGCCGCCGCCGCCCCCCGCTGCCAAACCGCCGCCGCAGCCGCAGCCGCTGCCGCCACCGCGCCGCGCCGCCGCCCGCAGCTGCACCGCCGCCGCCGCCGCCGCCCCGCCGCCGCCGCCGCCCCCGCCGCCGCCGCCGCCCCCGCCGCCGCCGCCGCCGCCGCCGCCGCCGCCGCCGCCGCAGTCGCCGCAGCCGCCGCCATCGCCGCCGCAGCCGCCGCCGCCGCCAAGTGTACTCTGCATTGTTTTGTTGACAGGGATGGTGGGGGGGGCCGCATCGGGTTGGCTGCGCATGTTTCGAATTTGGAGACTCGGGTTGGCCCCCAGTCGCCTGGGGGAGGGGGTGTTTATTAATAGGGAACAGTGATCGAAGCCCCTCCCAGCGCGGCCTGCACGAAACCCCTTGGGTAAAAGGGACAGGTGGGGGGACTCTGAGCCGTCGGCGGCACCCGGCGCGGCCTGCACGAAACCCCCAGGTAGTACTGGGGGGGGTTTGCCACGGGGCACCGCCGGCATATACGTGTGCGTGTGTGTAAAATGACTCTGTCGGCGCTCCGCGCAGACTGCTTGGATCTTCGCTAAGCCCCGCTGGCAGCGTCTCCGTCGCCGCTCCTGGCGCGCTCCGCGCGCCAGGGAGGACGGTCCAGCGCCGATCCGACCGATCTGCGCGAACCTCCGCAGGTTTCGGTTTATGCAGTGTTTTGTTTTTCTGTGCACGGCGTGTTCGCTCGGTTTGGGGTCCAGTGACCCTCGCGGATCGACCCCCTTGGAGAAAAGCAGCAGGAAGATTAGGTCTACGGTTCTGGCCGCGCTTTTCCGCAATCTGGTATTTTTTGTCACGACGTCAGATCTCAAGCAATGGAGGCGGAGGAGGAGGGAGGGAAGAGGAGAAGGAGAAAGGTTTCGCTGAACCCGTTAACTGCGACGCGGGGCACGGCTCCACAGTGTCCCACAAGGCCTGGTCGACGCCGCCAGGTGGCGACACAATTTTGCGCCTCGTTTCTTCTCATTCCTCTCTCTCTCCCTTCTCCTCCTCCTCCTCTTCCTCCTCCTCTGGACCCAGCGTGTCGGCGCGCAGCTGTCCTGCCTGGACCTGGCCCGCTCCGGGAACCCTGAGCCCAAACATTGGCGTTTCTGCGTCCGCTGGCCTCCTCCGTTGGACTGGCCGCTGTTGTACTTTTGCCGGCTTCCGTCCATGGCAGGGCGTGCCGAAGGCGAGGCATTGAGTTGGCAGGGTCTGAGCACGTCTCACAGCCAGTTTCAAGTCAGAACGGTGATATCCAAAGGCACTGTTATGTTATTCTGCGCTCCTCCTTCGGGGGGGCCCTGGGGCCTATTACGCTACCGAGGAACCCCACATACTTCGTTTTAAATATTGTGTTAGCATATCTTAGGTGCAACATACGTGGATGATGCTAGGTGGTCAAGAAAAGTGCGACGCCTGTTGTGCCGTAGACGACCAGGGCGGATGGCGCCCCCACCTCCAGCGCACCCCTTTGTGGCATCGAGGAAATGCTACGCCTGCCATGCCCTGCGAGCCTGCAACTCATAGCGTCCCCACACCCAGCGCACTCCCTGTGGCGCCGAGGGAATGCCATGCCCTGCGAGCCTGCCCATGTAGGAGCATGCAACGCTAAGTGGAAGCATGCAACGCATAGCGGGAGCATGCAACGCATAGCGCCCCCACACCCAGCGCACCCCTTGTATCGTCGAGGAACTGCCACGCTTGCCATGCCTTGCGGGTCTGCGACGCATAGCGCCCCATCCCCAGCGCACCCCCCTGTGGCATCGAGGAAATGCCACGCCTGCCATGCCCTGCGAGCCTGCAACGCATAGCGCCCCCACCCCCGGCGCACCCCCTGTATCGTCGAGGACATGCCGCGCCTGCCATGCCTTTCGAGCCACCAACGCATAGCGCCCCCACCCCCATCGTACCCCCCACTGCTTCGAGAAAGTGCCACGTCCGGCGTGTCCTGCGTCTGTGTTTGTGTTCTGTGATGTGTGGTGTGTGAGTGTCTGATGTGTGTGCGGCCGTGTCTCTGTGTGGTTGTGTGTGTGTGTTTGTGTCTGTGTGTCTGTGTGTCTGTGTGCATGTGCCTTTCGAGGAGGAAGGAAGAGCAGGGGAGGAGGGAGACGCGGGTGCGACGCGGCAGGGAAGAAAATCCAAACCCCACTAAGCATGCATGCGCACACACCCACACACACACGCAATCACACGCACACACACACACACTCACACACACACTCACACTCACACTCACACTCACACTCACACTCACACTCACACTCACACTCACACACACACACACACTCACACTCACACTCACACTCACACTCACACTCACACTCACACTCACACACACACACTCACACTCACACTCACACTCACACTCACACTCACACTCACACACACACACACACACACACACACACACACACACACACACACACACACACACTTTTCGGCGTTGAGGCCACGCATGCGGCGGCTCGGCGTGGGCGGTCGAGCGGGAGACAGCCCTGGCACCCCAGCCCCAGACTCCCGACGAACGCTTGAGAGGCGGCGAGCGGTGGACGATCTCCGGCGAGCCAGCGAGCGGCGGCAGGCGAACCCCGACGACCGAACGCCGCGTCGGGCGCCGCCGACGGCGCCGCGGCCCGCGGGGGCCGCCCTCGGGAGAAGGTGGAGGAGGAGGAGGAGGAGGCGGAGGAGGAGGAGGAGAAGGAGGAGGAGGAGGCCCTCTCCCTAGCCCTCGGGAGGAGCTGCTGCCGGGGCACTTCGGGGCCCTGGCTGGGCTGGGCCTCGCAGAGCTGCGGGGCCTGCGCCTCGGCGAGGCCCCCCCCCTCCCGTCCGCCCGCCGCCCCCCCGCAGGGCAGCGGCCGGGACGAAGTGGGAGGAGGAGGAGGAGGAGGAGGAGGAGGAGGAGGAGGCGGTGGAGGAGGAGGTGGAGGCGCAGGGAAGAGCGACTGGATGACTCGGGGAAGGACGGGGGAGGGAGGCAAGGGCAGGGAGAAAAAGGGGGAAGGGAGGGAAGGGAACGAGGGCGGAAGCGGGGAGGGAGGAGGCAATCGGATGGGCGCAGCGCCCTCGAGCTGCCTGCCGCCTCGCGGGCGGGCCCCGCATGGTCGAGCCGCTCCCGCGGAACCCCCACTGCCCGCAAAAGATTGCCCGTACAGTTGCCCACGGCGAGACCGGGAGCCAGCATCCCGCTGCCTGCCCAGCGTTTTGTGCCGCGCGCGTTCTTCACAGGTTCGCGCCGCCTCCTATCCCGGGGGCTGCACTCCGCCGCTCGGCGCCGCGTCGCCTCTGATTGTGGTGGACAACGGCGACGACGGCGGCGGTGGCGGCGACGGCGACGACGACGACCACGACCACGATGATGAGGACGATGGCGGCGGCGGCGGCGGCGACGGCGGTGGCGACGACGACGACGACGACGCCGCGCCGCGCCGCGCCGCGCAGGCGGCGGCGGCGTTCCGGGCCGCGAGGGCGCAAGCGCCCGCCTGCTCCTGGGCGTGGGGGCTGTATACACCTGGGGCCTGGCGGCTCGCGGCCGAGTGTCGCCCGGGCCCCTGCCAGCCTGGGCGGCTGTCACTGCAGGAGGAGAAAAAAACGGACACTCATAATCGTCGATTCCCAGGAAAATATGCGAAAACACGGGAAGTGGGGGGAAGACGAATATCAACAACAATATGGGAAATGATAGGGAATCATGGTACTTGTGTCTATGGATTTGCGTGTCCCAGTGCCCCTTCATCATTGTCGGCCACGCACAAGGGTGACCTTTCGCTGGAGTGGCCTCTGGTGCGGGCCCACAGTGGTGGCTCCAGCACTGGCCTTGGCACTTGGATCTGGCCCCGCCGCGGCCCCCAGAAGCCGCGCACCGAAGGCCACGCCTGCCCAGGGTCACTCCCTGCGGGCTTGCCATACTGGCGGCCCGGGGCGGTGTTCATCGACTGCGCCTCGTCGAGGGTACTGCTTTGGGTGGCTGTTCTTCGTGGCGCTTCAAGGGGATCTCGACAGTACTCCGAGTATCTCGGGGCGTTGTTCCATCGCTTGCTCCTCGTCGAGGGCCCTCCGGCTTGACCCGAGTCCTCCCGGACGGCCGACATGTGCTTGGGTTGTGGACCGGAAGCGAGCTGGAGTGTTTGGGCGCCCAGATCGTGGGTCAGCACCAGATTTGTCGTGGACCAGCCATCCAAGCCTCCCAGTTGGGATCCGAGCAGCTGCTGTATGGGTCGGAGGATAGCGCCCCGTCGCCCATGCATCGACGATGCAGCTGAACGCGGAGCCCCCTGTTGCATGTCTTCGGCGCCGACGGCGCCGAAGCGTCGCCGACGTCGCCGATGCATCGGCGGTTCGGCGCGATCCTCCGTCCCCATTTATCGACGCCTGGGCCCCTGGCTCTCTCAGCCTCTCATCCCGTTTGTGTGTTGGCAGATGCCCGAAGCTGGCCTCCAGAGGCCAACAAAGAAGGCCATCCTGCCGCTTCGGTTTTTGTGGAGGCGGTCGACGCCTGTCGACACGATGGACATGGGCACGGGGAGTTTGAGGACGAAGACCGACAGCAGTTCCTGTCCAGTTCGAACCGGATTCGCTTTCGCCGCCTGGGCGTTTACACGTTGGGACAAACATCGTTTGCCTGACAGCGGCCGCTGTTGGTCTTGGACAAAATGTGTTGCTAGGTATCGATAGCCCATCTCTTTCGCACTCATGTTGGGTGTGCAAAGTCTGGGCTCCTTCCCCCTTCCACCTCCAGCACTCCCACCCCCCATCCGATGGTCTCTGTACGGACAACGTTTCTACCAGACTTGGCGCGCCTACGTTCTCACGCTGTGTCGCCACGTTGGTGTAGTGCCACGGTGACTTCGATGTCGAAGGGGTCGTCGTCGAATAAAAATCAAATCCAACCCTCTGACCCCCCATCCGCCGCCCCCCCCCCCCGCCGCCTCTTATAAGCCTGCTCGCCTCGACGCAGGGGCCCTCGCAGGATGCGCAGGCCGCTGAGCTCGCGGACTCCGCACAGGCCCCCCCGCGAGCCGCCCCTTCTTTCGTTGCGTGGACGCCGGACTCCTTCCCGGGCAGCGCGCCCAGGGGCTCCGAAAAGTCCGGACGACGAGATCGAAACAGACCCACCGCTGCTGGCCAGGCTTATGTCGGGCGTGTCCCCCTGCAGGGGGGTTGTCGACGAAAGATAAACATACCCCCAAAATAGTCAAACAAATAATCCAAAAATAGTCCAGGGACTATTTTTCGAGCATTGTTTGACTATTTGGGAATAGTTTTTGAATCTGTTTTATTTTTCGTCGAAAGTCCCCCCGCCCGACTTGAGGCCAGGCCCGTCCTGGGCCCTGGAGCGATGTGTACCTCCCGCTGGCTTTGCCAGGGAGGCATATACACCGCTCCTGTGCCTGGGCTGGGCCTGACCGGCGGCCATCTGTAGGTGCAGATCTCGTCGCCCGACAGGCGTGGCAGAAGCCGAGGGCTCCTTCGCCCCGGGGCACCTCCGGCAGCCCTGGAGCGGTCGATCGTCGCTGGTCTTCTGGACGCCCTCGGTCGGCGCTCCCGTGGGAACGCGCGGAGCATCGGCCTGATCTGTGGCAATGGGGGTCCTGCCCATCCCCGATCCACGTGAGGGGCAAGAGGTCCTCCTGATCCTCCTCCTCCTCGTCCTCCTCCTCCTCCTCCTCCTCCTCCTCCTCCTCTGGGAGAAGGAGGCCCATCCCCAATGGGGCTCTTGCCCCTCCCACGGGGAGGGGCAAGAGGTCCTCGTGATCCCCGCCCTCGCCCCTCCCAGCGCCGCCGACGTCGATGCCGCACGCAGCTGCTCGGCGTGGCCGACGGGCGCCGCCCAGGGGGGGAGGAGGAGGAGGAGGAGGAGGAGGAGGAGGAGGAGGAGGAGGAGGAGGAGGAGGAGCCGACGGGCGCCGCCCAGGGGGGGAGGAGGAGGGAGGAGGAGGAGGAGGAGGAGGAGGAGAGGAGGAGGAGGAGGAGGAGGAGGAGGAGGAGGGGAGGGAGAAGGAGGAGTAGGAGGAGGAGGAGGAGCAGGAGGAGGAGCAGGAGCAGCAGGGATTGGGCGCGAGGCGGGTGAAGGTGGCGGGAGCTTCCTTGGAAGGCAGGGGCCTCCTTGGACGAGCCAGGGCGGCTTCGAAGAGGCCGCCTTAAGAAGACTCCAAGGGGGCCTTCGGAGGAGGCCCCCCCGCCTTCTGACGGGCCCGCCCGCCGCGCGCCGCCCCCTCGCGGGCGCGCCTCCAACGTGCAGGGCGGCCACGAGGAGGACCCGACGAGCCTCGCTCGCTCCGGGAGGCGGCCCTTCCTCCGCCCTGCGGAGGGCGGCGAGAGGGCCCCGCCGGTGCCACCGAGGCTTGGGCGCGCCGTGGCCGTTCGTTCTGCGCAGCGCGCCCCCCCCCCCCCCCCCCCTCCTCAGATCATTGGCTGCCGGATGTTTGCCGGTCGCGATCGTCGGGCGGGCGGAAAAGGAGGTGACCATCGGCACGAACGGAGCTGGTACGGAAAGAATGGGTACGATGCCCAACAGCAGTTCCTGTGCGTTTTGAGCAGGACTCGGACTGTCCGCACCGCCGCGGCCTTTGTCCACTTGAGACAGCAGGCCGCCTTCCCAACAGCGGCCGCTGTTGGTTTGGGACAACACTTGTTGTTGGGCATTGTGCCAATTTTTTCCGTACCCATTTCGGGCATCCGGAGACCAGGGGGTGGCTCGACCAGGGGGTGAAGAAAAGGGCTCGAAATGGGCCCCTTAGGACCCGTGTCTTCACCCCCCGTTCAGGTCCCCTCCAATATTACCACCCGCCCGAGATCGGTACCGACCGTCGGAACTCCAAATCGGTCGTGATCGATTCCAAGATCGGTCGCGACTTGCGCGACCGATGTTGAAGCCAATCGGCCGCGACCGATACAGGAATGCTTCACGCTTCGCGTATCCACACCAGCTGCGCTTACTTGCTGGTCGCCAGCGGGATTTCCACGCCACCGGGTTTGGGAGTATCGGTTGTGGCTCTCCTTCTGAGTGGCTGCCCGCTCGCTCGCTTCGCTTGCCTTTCTTTTCCTGCTGCCTAGTCGCGGCCCGACTAGTGTTCGGACGGCTTTCGACCCGCCTCGCGAGCCTGTTGACCAAAAAGTATCCCCTCCAGCGCTTGTTCGACAAGGTTGCCTGGGGTACGGGCCTCACGCCAAGGCCATCTTGGAGCTGCCGGCCATCCACTGTCGCTTTTGGGCTTGCTCGGCTTCCGGCCGTCCCACATCGTTTTGGTGTTCCCCTCCTTTCCGCGCCATTTTGGGTACGCTGGTTCCCGCCTCGCCCCGACGTGCTCGCTTTCGGCACGGTCCCCCCCTCAACTTCGACCTGTACGGCAAGCTCTGGTTCGCCGCCCCCACCAACCTGGGTAAGCGCGGCGTTCGCCTTTGGCATGGACTGCTCGTTCGACAAGGTTGCCTGGGGTACGGATGGGCCTCGCGCCGCGGCCATCCTGGAGCTGCGTTGGCCCACCCGCTGTCGCTTCTGGAGCCTTGCTCGTCTCCCCGCGCGGCTCTTCATCGTGTTTCTGGTGGTGGTCCGTCTCTTCCGCGCCATTTTGGTTGCGCTGAGTTGCGCCTCGCTTCGGCGTGCTCGCTGACTTGTTTTTTCTTTCGCAGGTGGCATAGCCTGCCCCTGCTTGCCTGGCGTCCGACTCGCTTCGTGCATTTGCGAACCAAAAAGTATCCCCACTAGCCTATTCAGACACTCTGCCCTTCAGAGTTGGCGGGAAACATCTAGGGATACAACGCGAGCGAGCGGGTGGCCTTGGAAGGCCTCTTCAGGCCATCCCTGGGTGCCGCGTGGAGGCGAGGGGAAGAGGAGGACGAGGAGGACGAGGAGGACGACAACGAGGACGAGGAGGACGAGGATGAGGATGAGGACGATGCGACGAGGATTCATGGAACCATCTTGAGGTATTCCTGCGGCTGCTGTTGCTCCTGTTGCTGCTGCTGCTGCTGCTGGAGGGCCCCCTTGGAACCCTTTTGGTAACCCTGGCGGGCTTCTTGGAATCATCTGGGAGGCCATCAATTACAGGATGGGGGGGTCCCCAGATCAGCTCCCCCCATCAGGAGCCGGCAAACCGCTTCTCGGGGCTCTCTTGGGGCGCTCTTGGAGCGTTTCGGGGCCGTTTGCAGCATCTTGGGAGCCATCTTGAGCCAGCTGAGGCTGTCTGAGCCATCTTGGAAGTCATCTTGGACTCTCTGGGACCGTTCGGGGGCCTCTTGGGGGCCTCGCGGATGCCTGTTGGGGCCATCTTGGGACCCTTTAGGGGCCCTCTTGGGGCTCTCTTGGGAGCCCTGGAGCGCCTCTTGGGGCCATCGTCGAGGCTATCGATCAAAGGAGGGATTCACCCGATCGAGGTTCCCCCTTCGGGGGCCACGATCCTCGTGAGAGGTGTCAAACATCTGCCCTCCCAGAGGCCGATTTTGGACGCTCCAACGGATCACGGCCCCCCCGTCCAGGTCCAGGGGATGGGGTGGTGGGAGGGGCGAACCCCTCCCCGAAGGGGAAGAATGGGTTTTGGAAGGGGGAAATATGTCATCGTTAGACCACCTGTGCCCAGAGGGCTGCTGGAATTAGAAGCAGCAGTAGGAGCGACCGATTCCCTCGGTCACGATCTCAACAAAAATTCATCATCAGGCGGCGAGGGGAATCGAGGAGCGGCTGGCCGTCTCAAAGGGCTTGGACCCCCCTGGCCTTCTGAGCAGTTGTTTCCAAGCCTCTCCCGAAGACGCAGAGAAAGCTCATCGGAAGGCCAGAGGGCCTCAGAGGAGCCCCGAGGGCTTCCTTCTCCCCTTCCCCCCGGGCTCGCCGCCCCGGCATCCAATGATCAGGCCCCCCCCCCCCCCGCACGGCGAGCGCGGCCCCATGAGCGCGGAGGCCCCCGGCGAGCGCAGCCCCGCCGCGAGGCCCGCGCCTGGCGCCGCGGTCGAGGGGGCCGCCGCCGCCGCCGCGGCGGCGGGCGGCGCCGCCGCGGCGGCCGCGGAGAGGCCGGCGCCCCGCGCCGCGGGCGAGGAGGCCGCCGCCGCCGCGGAGGCGGCCGACGCTGCCGCGGCCGCCGCGGGGAGGCCGCGAGTCGACGCCGCGGGCGAGGAGGCCGCCGCCGCCGCCGCCGAGGCGGGCGGGGTTCCCCCGCGCTGCTGGAGCGCGGCGCGGAGCGGGCGGTGCCGGGCAAGATGGGCAGGCGTCCTTGGCATCGCTCGGACGTGTGCATTTTTCCTCGGCGAGGACCATCGAGGAGCATCCTTGATCATTTGGCGAAAAAACCACGCACAACACCGAAACAAAAACACAGGGAAGGGACGTCCGAGCGATGGCCAGCGTCCATGTCCAGGGCGTCGTGGACTCGGTTGGGGAGGGGCGCCGAGAAGCCGGGGCGCGCTGGGCATGGGGGCATGGACGAGGAAGCGAGCCTCTTCAAGGGGCCAGAGTGGCCTCCACAGGGGCACATCCAGACCCAGTGCGCCTCGGGTTCCCGGGGGAGGGAGGCCGAAAGTCCACGCCGCAGCGGACATGGACGCGAGTCTTGCCCGCAGGCGGCCCGGCGGGGGAGGCACCCGCGCAGGGGCGCGCCACGTGGAGCAGGCCGGCGCTTCGGAGGGTGCCAGGGCGGCTCGTGAGCCCTCTCGGAGGGGTGTCGCATGGGGTTCCAGGAGGGGGGGCGGGAAAAGTTTCGGGAGGGTTCCGAGGGAGTTCGGAGGGTTGCGGAGGGTTCCACTGGGTTGAGGTGGTGGAGGGTGGGGGGTCGGGGGTTTCGGGGGTTGTGGAGGGTTTCAGAGGGTTCCAGATGGTTTCGGAACGTTTCGGGGGGGGGGGGGCTCGCGAACCATCGGCTGCGGGCTTTGGGCATTGCTCCAGGCTCCCCAGATTGGCGATTAGATGGGATTGGAGGATCCCTCCGCATCGCCGATATGGCATCGGCGATGCGGCTCGACGTGAAGCCAGATGCCATCCACGCCCGCGCCGTGTTCATCGAGGCTGCTTGGCTC